TGTAACAGTAATGATGATAATCATTATGGTGTACCCTAGTGTTGTAGTCAAGACCACCTTATCCGAGACCAAGACCTGACCAAGACCAGAGGGTGTCGAGACCGAGACAAGACCAAGACTCTGAAGGGCCGAGACCGAGTCGAGACCGAGACCAGGGCTGGCCGAGACCGAGTCGAGACCGAGACCAGGGCTGGGCGAGACCGAGTCGAGACCGAGACCAGGGCTGGGCGAGACCGAGTCGAGACCGGACCAATGCATGTTTTACACCACATGACAAATAAGTGGAACATGCAAAGCCTAAGCACCCCTCAAAAAGAGCTGAACGAAGCAAACAACATACACTATGCAACATTAAATATGTTTATACATTACTTCTCTCGACTATTCTCTTACATTTCAATAATCAGAAAACAGAACAAAGAATGTGAAAGTGAAAAAAACTTCTAAAGACCATACAATTTTGTTTTTAAAGCAACAAATGCAGGAGTTTCATTCATAAAATTACAAAATTGCTTCACTGGAAGCAGTTACCTAAAATTATAACATCATTTATTAATCCTCAACAAACCACTGTGGCAGAACACTCTTTAAGACCAAACTGACCCCAAAGATGAGGGGGTAACTGCTAAACACCACACAACATGGCCTGAAACACCACATAAATGAAAAATCACAGTAGAGTGTGGTTGCATTTCAGAAACATGAGGGATTGTAACATTCTTGGACCTAAACGTGCGCGATGGGGTCTCATTATAATGCCCCCTCTACTAAAAACCCTCTCCACTGGTGCTGAGGAGGCAGGGACTGACAGCACCTTCATTGCCAAATTGTGAAGCTGTGGAAATCTAACATGGTTTTTGGCCCAGAAGTCAAGTGCATCGCCAGCATCCCAGTCATGGACGGCATCAAAGTATTTGTTGATCTCTGTCATAAAACTTGTATCATGATCTGAGCTGCACATCTTGTAGGCCTTGTAGCGAGACAGAAGACGAGGCCATTTAACTGGTGGTGAATCACCATGAGGATTCACAATAGACCCTGAATTAGTTGCATTTCCCTCACTCTCCATCATGTTCTCCACCTCTGAGATCAAAGTGTCTGAAAAATACACAAATGCAGAAACTGAGTTAGAATGAAATGGATAGATTGCTTGAATGTGCCAGAAAATTACTTTATTTTTGTTATTTATTATTTTAGGACCTTTATAAGGCAAATTGGAAGAATAATGAACACTGATGTTACTGAATATTTGGTCCAGTACAGTTTTAGGACAGGGTTTATGCAGTTGAATTTACTACCTTTTACTACCGCGCGGAAACCCTGTAGGAAGAAATATAGGTTATGTACATGGAAGCTTTAATAAGATGATGTTCTATGATCTATTATGTTATTTAGGGCTGAGGTGTTATTGTAAAACAACTGTTTGTCTATAATACGTACATTTGCAAGTTAAATATTAAAACAGTCGCAGGTACATTATACCAAGAGCATAACATATTTGTGGCAAAATAAACAGGTGATATAAAAAATCCTATGAATTAAACATTTACCCTGTTATTAACATACACTATTTTTTTTTTAAAAAAAGAAGATTGGTAGTTCACAAATGATCTTTTAAAAGAATTTAAAGATACCTATCAGTGTCTTCTTCAGATCATCTCTGAACTTCTTCACAGATGCTGCATTTCCCCCACTGGTAACATCCAGATCTACCCAACTTAATCCAAACTGTGGATCCAGAATGGTAGCCAAAAAGTACACATTGTGGTTAAACGGTTCCTCTTTTCCACTATCTTTGGTCATGTTTGTTTTTGTGAAGATTCCAGAAAATCTTTTCACCAGGGACTGATGGAGGGCCTTGACTAATGGTCGGCACTGCATTTGGGTCCCCTCCATCTTAAGGAGGTGTGTATTTAAGTCCAGGACAGTCGGAACCACCATGCTTATGGTAACTGATTTCTCTGCTTCTGTAAGGTCTGTTGCCTCTGAGAATGGTGCAAGAATTGAAGTCAGTTCTTTTAGCTGGTTCCACTCACGAGCACTAAAGACTACATTCTCATAGTCCTTGCTGCACATTTCATTTAGGGCTCTGTGATCCAGAGCTGTGAGTGCCTGTACTTGTTTGAAAGTGCTGTTCCAGCGGGTGTTGCTTGCTGCTGGAATAGTCTTAGTAGTGCCAAATGCAGCCTCAAACTTGTCTCTTAATTGTGAACTGCTACTGTATGTAACAGAGTTGTAAACCGTGATGTTTTGGCAATGGCGCGTGAGATGACCTTAACCTCCTTCAAGCCATCATTTACAACTAACTGTAGAGAATGAGCAAAGCAGGAAAGACGTTCACCTGATGACCAAGTTAATTCTTTGTCTTCCACTGAATTCATGTCCTCCCACAAGTTCTCATCATCTAGACTCTCTTCCTCACTCGCACTGTCATCAGACTGCTGTTGTGGCATGTGAACTTTAAAAGCACATTTCATATTTGAAGCATTGTCTGTAATGATATAGTTTATCTTGTGACGGATTCCATATTCCTCTGTGATCTCCTCAAAGGCAGAAGCAATTTTCTCACCAGTATGTCTACCTGTAAAATGCCTGCAGTCCAGCAAGTAGGATTCAAGTGCATAGGCAGCCTTTGATTTGCAGCACATATGGGCAGTCACTCCAAGGAAAGAGCGTAGTCTGCGATCAGACCAGATATCAGTCGTTAGTGAGACATATGTCTGTGTCGCCAGCTTCTCTAAAACTTTCTCCTTGACCTTCCTCACTAATGCTGGGATCTGTTTCTCAGAAATTGTTCTTCTGGAGATTGGTGTGTACTTACTGTCTAAAATCTCAAGAAAGTGTTTAAAATGTAAATTTTCCACAATTGACAGAGGCAGACAACACCCAATTACTAAATCTTGGACAATAGCTTCACTGATGGCTTGTTGTCTCTGAGAATGTTCGCTGTAGACCTGCCCTTTCTGGGTAAAGGAAGCTATAGTTGGCTGTGTGTCATCTTTCTTTTGGCCAGCCTTGTACTCCAAGAACCTAAAATTGAGGAAGGATAACACAGATATCTGATGAAATTAATTTTATTTATATAAAAAAAGTATTTAAAATTAATGTTGCAAGTTAAAGAGAAGCAAAGGTACCGAGACTGTATTAGAAAATCTTACATATTACACTATTACGGAAGCGTAATGCGTTCACTTGAGAAAAAATAATTCTGCTGTTTTTCTGAATTAATGACATAATTATCTCGGAATTTCTGAGATAAAGTTTTCATGTAAAATAAAAACTCTGTTTTTCTGAATTAACGAGATACGGTTTTCATGTAAAAAAAAATACGATGTTTTTCTGAATTGAGATACTGTTTTCATGTAATATATATATGCAGTGGTACCTCGGTTCTCGAACTCACTAGAACTCGAATTTCGCCTACTTTGGAGCTCAATTTCACTGCAACAATATCACAGCTTAGATTAATCTAGTTTTATTTTGGTCTGGGTTAGAAACACTGGGAAATACTGGCAGCTTTAAGTAACATAGATGGCATTGTTATTAGTTTGTCGACTTTGCGCAGGTTTTGCGGTTGTTCAGAGGGAAAGTTCATTCTGATCTGCAGAACATTGCAGTGTTTCTCCAGGGTCAGTTGGACCAGTATGGCATGCTTCACGGATACAAGATGATGCATCTGAAATGCATTCAGGCTGGTCATGTGGTGACTCAAGAGACAATCAGACCATGTAATGAAAACTGTATCTGTGTCTGCACCGTCTGACACGCCCCCATTCGCCATTTTGAGTGTGTCGCGAATGTAAACACATTTGGTTAACTTAATGTTTCATTTTCAGTGTTTTTTTTCTCTACAAAAATGTAACGTTTTATGGAACTTTATCAGTAATAAGTTACTGATTTTCATTACCAAAATTTTCATTACCAAAACACACCAGCCATTTAGGTGATTAAGAATGGAAAAAGAGTCAAGAACACCACAGTAATGTCATTGGACATAACTTTATTGGTAATGTTTAAAATAAAATATAAGCGGCAAGCAGGACACAGGCTCGGTATACAACGAGTTTATACAGATCCTTCCAGACATCATGTAAAACGTTAGAAACCGTACTTGCAAATGTTTCTGTACATAAACCATAGTTGAGCATTGGTTTTACAGGGCACAGCACACAGTGACAACCTTATCCAGCATTGCAGCTTATAATCCATGCACGCGAATATACATATACATGCACTGATACACGTGTCATTACAGTTTTCCTGTTTACTTATCTTTAAAAAGCATTCACTCTGTAACACCACTTTAACACAAGCATATTAATCTATTTCTGCTGCCCTCCGTAGTGAGGCTAGCTTGCTTGTGTAGATTAACCAATGTGAAAATACCAACTTTAGAAGACAAAAAAAATGCATATTCAATAATATTACTCAAAAAAAAACATCTTAGTTGCCTTTGTGAAAATACCGAGAGCAAACACGCATGAAGGGAGATATCGTGTTGAAAGTGATCTCCTTCCGTCTCATTGCTGCGACCCAGGCCACCCAACGCCTCTTTGTTACCTCCTCTAACTGGTGTCCATATCCTCTTTTCCAAGTGGGAAACCGAAAAAATCTCATGTTGTAGTCCACCTTTTTGCCATTTCTACCATGTGAATTAGTGTGACAGCCTTTCAGATAGTGTCCCATCTTACAAAAAATAATGCTGAACGCAAATGCTCACTCTTGCGTTGTATACATCCAAAATGGCGATTCGACCCACAATACACTGCGGCTATAGCGAGTGTGACGTCGACTAACGAAGACCAATTTAAAAAAAGGAGCGTTTTTTTACATGAAAACTGTATCTCGTTAATTCAGCAGAATTATTTTTTCTCAAGTGAAGGCATTACGCTTCCGTACATTATAGATATGTCCTAAACTAAAAATTAATGTGGAATATATGTCAAATCTATTTTTATCCACATTCTGATTTGTTTCCATTCCATTTTATAATCTATATATGTAGCTAATCAAATAATTGGCTTTCTAGGCTTAGGAACATATATATTAATATGGTATGTTCTATAATTTTTTCTCACACAAATGTGTGGATCGACACTACATAGTAGACAGCAAGGGCGTAAATGAAATATTTTTAAAATAGTTACACAAAGATGATGGATATGGTATGATATTGTTTTCCACATACTGTTATCACTG